TTACGCGATATTTTCGCTTATCGTTTCGCGAAATCATTTCGCATTAAAACGGTGTGGCCCACACAAATTTGGAGAAAAAAATCACTTCTAAGAGCGGGAAAATATGGGATAAAATTTCTAATGTAACTTTAGATTACAGTCCAGTTGTGATACCTTAAGCTTGTGATATTCCCTAGTCCATTCAAAACGGTCAAAAAATTAAATTTTCAAAAAAGCCAAAGTTTGCCTAGTACTATTAATTTTCTTATTGTTATTATCAATTTATTTTTGTGTTAGTTGCAGGTGTTCGTGGGTTCAAGATTTTACTATCAAATTCATTATTATCTCTGACTTCACACTAAATTTGCTCTAAATTAATTGAGGCCTAAATTTATACTAACATTTTTAAACCCTTTCGGATGAATACATATCCTGCCGTCCTGTGGCCTTTCGTTCATTTTGACCCGTAGTTGTCGTAAGAGGCGGGTATGGGAATAATTCAAACAGTGGACTATTACGGAGTGCTAAAAAAAGAAAAATAATCTTCAAACGTTTGGAAGTTAACGACCACTCAAGTGAATGTGAGGACCTTCCCAGTAGGAGTGAGACGTATTTAAGGAAACAGACAAAAAAAAAACTGCTTTTTAATATAGTAACAGTAGTTCCTGAACCTATATAACTGTTTCAGTTCCACAGATAACCAATGTTCGAGAACGGAGCTGAAAAAGTACGAAAGCTCTTCAATATTCTTACTAGGGAGGTTATTTTGGACGGAAATAGGAATCATATGTAATATTTTTGTTGTCGTCAAATGCCTATTTTCACTTTAGGATGCAAATATTGTGGAATATGAACCGCGAAACCAGTAAAAACATAAATTGTGAGTATGGACTTAGATTGAATATCATAATTAACAGAGACTTGGCCTAAACTATCTTCAATCAATTGTGCCTAAATATATCTAAATCTGGCTGCAATCATGATTAGTGAAAGAGTACCACTGGACAGTAGTAACATCAACAGGAGAGATTTAGCAAGAGCGGAAAGCACAGTATAAGCACACAATTGTTGTGTCTTTATACTGTGTAAACTACTTTGTATCAACATTAACTATTCATTACACATACACAAACACTCTCCCTCTCTCTCTCTCTCTCTCTCCCTCTCTCTCTCTCTCTCACACACACATACACACACACACACACACACACTAACATTTATTAATGAATTAGTACATAATATTATAAGTTTTTAATTTTAAATTATTAAATAAGTTTTTAATATCTAATATAGTTTATAAATTATACTCATTAACAAGTGTCACATCCTAAATAACAGTAATATAGGCAACACGATGATAATATCATAGTTTTTAAAGCGACAGTATTATTAAATCAGGTTTGTTAGGTTTAAGTATGTAGTATAACGATATTTTTGTGAATTCGTTTATTTGAGTAGATATACTGAGCTTGATTTTTCAAAGTTAAACCAAACCACAGATATACATAAAAGCAGAAAATTTTAAAAAAAGTTGTAAAAAATTAAAGAGCAAACCACTGAGGCATTGTTTTGTGTATTAATATAAAACTCTAGAAATTGATGAACTTTTATTAAAAACTAACTTCTCAGTTAAATGACATCGTGTAACAAAAACTTTACCTCAGTGTCAACTAGCGACATCTGGTGAGCAGATAATTATTAGCCCTCCTTGGCACATACGTAATGTTAATTAGTTAAGAGTAGGTTTTGTCATTTTCATTCATTTGTCATTCATTACGTCATAATTGTCATCTTGATAGAACTATAATTATTAATAACAAGTATTTTGTGATGTTATGTTGAAAGAATATTATCTTTAAATATGGCATGACAGAACACATTTTTAACCAAGTTCATAAAAACGAGAAAGTTTTATATTCGATGTTTTATTCATCGATTTTTAGAAACATCTGAAAAGATTTTTATTAATACTTGAGGGATGGTGCCATATAAATTTACAAAAAAGAATTATCTCTAAGGCTGGTAAAATTGAGTATGAATAATTTAAATTAACTAATTAGACAACATTCACTCATTTATATATTCTTTATTGCATTCCTACTTATAAAAAAATACAAAGAACTTTTAGGCATTCTCTACCAGTTAACCGGTGTAGTTGTTAATTTTTGGAGTCCGTTTGTACTTTTTAGAAGTTTAATTACTATTAGATACAATTTTTCCACGTCACAGTGACAACTAGTTAACTTGATAGTAACATGAAGCTGTCTCCCATACACATACACATCTATCCTCGATAAAGAATCAAAATGAAGATTTATTGTATTGGGGATATAACAACAAACCAACACTAATAAATCTATTGGCTTTCAAGTTGGGTTCCAAGATTTAAGCCAAGATTTTCGTTCTCTAAAAGCACTAAGTCAGATAATAGTAGGGCTAGTAGAAAATGACATCTCATTAATCGTTGTTACGTCGAAGTTAAACAACTTCAATTTAACTTCAGAATCCATCTTGTCTTTATAAGTCGAAAGAGTAAGGAATGTGTCAGAGATTTATTTTCGACACCTCATTTAAATTGACTTCAATATCCGCTGACGGGATTCATCAATTTTCATTCCATTTCATTTCATTCTCTAAAATTAGATGAAACCAAACAACCTTTATTATTTTAGAAATATTATAAATAAAAAAGGAAAATGTAAATATGTGTTGCTGTAATGTTGAGGTGTTAATTCAAGGTGAGGTAGTGTTAAAACGTTCTTAAGAGAGTATTCTTTCAAGAACGGTCTTACACTTAAGAGTAATGACCGTCTCCTTGGATCTTTGCAATCTCAAAAAAGGTTAGTCAGCTTAAAATTGGATGTCAGATGGGATTTTAAAATCTTATAAGGCCAAGCAAATATTAATAGGGATATTAGTCTATTCAATACATTGCAGTGCAATCTCTACTCCATTCTGTAAGCTCTGCATCTGATTATATGAAGATATTGTATAATCGGATTGTCTAACACCTTTGATGATGCTCGCTGTAAACAGAATGTGTATTTTCATTTAAAATAAACAAAGTGTTATCGCCATCTAATGGGGTCTCCATTAGATGGCGATAATACTTTGTTTATTACATAATACTATGTGTATATAAGATCTTTTTGGATTTTCCCATAGTCAATTTCTATGACATCCACAGGACAATATACGGTAATTGATTTCTTTACACCGCCAGCACAAGATAATCGCTACACACGAGAGCAGGTCACTAAGTGAATTTATTCATTACTTGTTTAATGAAAAAATAGCGAACAAACTCCATTTTTGGCACCCGCACTTTTTATGTTGGAAAGGATTATGGAGCGGAAGGTTTCGTGGCATTGCTCCAAAATTTACCGTTATATTTGTAACAGAATTTTGGAAACATTCAGCTTTGCATGTCATAATTTCCTTCACCGCATATTTTTATATATAAAACTATATATTTAATTATATAAAAGAGGCAAATCATATATGTTCATATTGTTAAAGAAAATGAGAAATAAGAATGCTGTTATGTAAGTAACATAAAACTAATGAAGAATTTTCTTTTTTAAACTAATATTTTCATTTTATATTCTATACCTATTTATAGAAATCCTCAATATTTATACACTTTTACATATTAAACGGAAAAAATATACATTAAAAAGTAATCTAGTTTCTATCATCAGATGAAGATTTAAAATATTGTTCAAATTTTATTTTCTGTTTACAAATTGGAACACAAGAGCGCGTCCGCTGCGCTATATGCGCCAAATACCATGCGTGCAAGCACAAATATAAAGAAACTTTCATTGTTGCATATTGGCCTTTCTAAGGATCCTGGTATTGTAGAACAATTTTCACTACGCTGAGCTAGCAAGTTCGTGAACATTAATATGATATTGTAGATCTAGGTGTCTATGTGTGACTTATCTGACTATCTGACTGTGTGCTATTGGTCACTTTTACTTGTTTATTAAAACCTTCTTACTGGAAATGCTGCTTTCTATGACTACATTTTAACTTTAAATTAAGTCCATCAATCAACAGGGTGTATATAATTTGTAGGTTTACACTTATAAAAAAGGAAAATTTGGGATATCCCCATATTTTATCAGTGATCATATAAAATGCTTATCACAAAATAAAATTACACATATATTGCATATAATTTTGTATTTCCCATAGGGAATATTTGGTGTCTTATAGGGATAATGCCATAGAGGCCACGTCTGGCAATCGGTCAACTGGCAACCACATTTTTAAAAAAAAATATTATTTAGATGTTAACAGGAAGAAGCTTCTACCCACTCCTGTTTCAGTTTTCCTCTGTCACATCTTGTCACCCAATCTCAGTCTCAGTTTTCTTTTGTCATCTCTTTTTTTATATAAAATAAGGGTGACAAACGAACACACAGTCCTCCTGATGGTAAGTGGGTGCTGTGGCCTATAGACATCTACGTCTAACATCGTTTGCAAATTAAAATGCAGATACGTTGCCAGCCGTGAGGACTAAGATAGAATGCCTCTGTTCCAGTAAAAAGGGTCTCCGGTTCTCTACACTCACCATACGAAACACAGCAGCATTAAGCTGCTATTTTACGCTGGTATTCTGTGAGAGCGTGGTCCTTCCCCGGTCGAGCCGACCCATTCGTGCTACAACTATACTATTAATATAACTGCAGCATGGCTCTACCACGTAATAACCATGTAATACCTCTTGTTAATAGTGAGCATTTAAAATTCTCAATTTTCTAAAATATTGTATAAAGTAGCTCTTTGTAAGCTTCGCTAGAGTCTATCAGCCTTACTAATAAAGATTTACACACGACGTATACTAGAGTTATAACGCAAACATTACCAATAAACGACATTTGACAGTTCAGTTGTATACATCTGTTATAACGAGTGTTTAAATTGTATGGAAACTTACGCAACCGTTATACAGTCCTCAACCTTTGTTTAAGACGTGTATAACCTCAATTTGACGTGTGGAGTTTTTGAAAATAATGGATTATTTACAATATTTCGATATTTTTGATGAAATAGACCGTGAGGAACCACCAAGAAAAAGAAAATTTTACAAAAAACGTTTCGATCCCTTTACTCTAGAAGAAAAAGATTTTCGAATGAAATATAGATTCAGTAAAGTATATATGAGAAAAATAGTTAAGTTAGTTCAGCGTGATATCGAACTACAAGCTAGTGGTGGCGGGCTGTCTGTAGAACTTCAAGTTTGTACTGCTCTCAGAACGTGGGCTAGGCAAGAAGTGCAAGATGATGCAGCAGACATTCATGGGCTTAGCCAACAGTCCATCACGAATATATGCCGAAGAGTAGCTCTTGCTTTGGCAAGTAAAGCGGCACAATTTATACGCATGCCTAGTACTTTAGAAGAACAAGAACAAGTGGTTTCTGGATTTAGAAATATTTGTGGCTTTAAGCAAGTGATTGGTGCTATCGATTGCACGCACATAAAGATTAAAAAAGTTGGAGGCGATAGTGCCCAATATTATATAAACAGAAAGGGATTTTCATCCTTAAATGTCCAGGTAGTTTGTGATGCTCAATTAAAGATAAGGGATATAGTGGCACACTGGAGGGGCAGCACACATGATGCAAGAATATTCAGGGAAAGTCAAATTCGACAACGATTTGAAAATGGGGAATTTCATGGTCGTTTACTAGGAGATTCTGGCTACGGTTTGACAAATTACTTGTTTACACCAGTCCAGAATCCCCGTACTGCTAAAGAGAAATCTTATAATAAATCACATATTTTGACCAGAAATACAATTGAAAGGTGTTTCGGAGTTTGGAAACAGAGGTTCCGATGTCTATTACTTGGGTTTAGTGTGTCACTAGAAAATGTAAAATTATACATTGTTGCACTTGCAATATTACACAATATTGCCATTGAAATGAATGAAGGCATTGACTTCCTTGAACCAGTCATATCTGAAGATAATGGTGACCAACAAGTGCTAAGGGAAGGTCTTGATAGCCGATCTGGTCAAGAAACAAGGAGATTATTCATTGAAACACAATTTTAGTAACGAAAATGCTTTATTGTGGTAAATTTGTTTTTAAAAGTAATATTTCTAATTTTAGTTTTTCAACTCGAAGCTGTGTTTCTTATTTTTCCAATAACATTTGTTGTATTTTTAAATTGTATTCCTCTTTAATAAAATTATGAGCTTCTAACATATTTTTCATTTTTAAACCATGTTCCTCCTTTATGCAACTGACAAGAATATGATTGCGCTCTCTGGTTAAGTCTCTTTCCTGAAATAAATATATTATTATCAATCACAAATTACTAATCCCATTATTTTGTTATACTTGGTAGAGCCATGCTGTAGCTATATTAGTAGTATAGTTGTAGCACGAATGGGTCAACTCGACCGGGGAATGACCACGCTCTTGCAGAATGCCATCATAAAATAGTGGCTTAACGCTGCTGTGTTTCGTATGGTGAGTGTAGAGAACCGCAGACCCTTTTTAGTGGAAATGAGGCATTCCATCTTAGTCCCGGGTGACAATGCATCTGCATTTTGATTTGTAATAGAGGATAGATGTAGATGTCTATGGGCCACAGCAACTACTTACCATCAGGTGGACCGTGTGCTCGTTTGTCACCCTATCCTATAAAAAAACTTAAATTAAACATTTTATTAAAATAAAATATAATTTTATTTTACCTCACGTTTGGCTGTATATTTATTATCATTCACATCATTGAATGTTAGTTTCCGTTTTCTTCTAACTATTTCAGTTGGCATCTTTAAAGGTAGTGGTGTAATATTCTGAAATATTAACAAGTCATTCAGAATTCAAAAGATATTAATCTAGGTAAATTTACTCAACAAATTTAAATAAACAAACCTCTTGCACATTCTCATTATTATCTCCTGGAGTGATAAAATAATCTTGTGTTGGTGTATTCACCAAGGACTGCTCCTGACTTTGAACAACTGGATTCTGAAATAGAATATCACACATTGATATCATAATCATAAGACATAACATACTAATTCTGATACTAAACATTGTGTTAGGGCTAAGACAATTATAAAAATATAGTATGAGCTCACTGTTATGCTGTCACTGTCGAAGACATTGGAATCAGTCTCAAATTCCTGTGGAATCATGCTCAAAATGTCAATGGTTTCCGGGTCAGGGCTAAGAGGTTTTGGCCCTCCACCAGTACATTTGATAGATGTCTTTACTTGCGACATGTTTTTCTTTGCATCAAGTTTCATAGTGCGCCACTGTTGCTTCACTTCAGCTAATTCTCTTACCCGGCTATTCAATTCACTAAAACTGAAAATGTCTCAATCATAATTTGCACACAAGAAACGTGAAACAAAATTCATAAACATGGTATTTTACAAACCTTTTCATCACTTTTTGCCAAGCAATGGTCTTACTTTTGTTTGTATTTGTATCGGTGTTTTTATTTTCTATGATGGATACAAATTCCTTCATACAACTTTTTAATAAACTCTGAAAGATAATATACAAAGTTTGATTACAAATTGTGACCATATTGGGAAACAGGAGTTGCAAATGTTTTTCTAGTAAAATTCAATCTTACCTTTTCTAATGCATCCCAATTGGCAGACCGTTTTCTTTTGATAAAGTTTCCATTACTATTAGCCATTATTACACAATTACAGCGATGTTACTAAAAATATAGTAGCTTCTAACGAATTATAAATTACAAAATACAAACAACAAATTGATGATTGAATTGCAAACTGTCTGAATCTGAAAGGTACGCCGTACGTTCATAAACTTATTATGATTATAAATATGGCTTTGTCCAAATAATAATTAGTTTTTATCGCATATAAACATTAGATTATTACTAAATTAAATTTAACAATATTTTGGGCTAAATGTATGTGTTAATAATTAAAAAAAGAGAATTTATAAGCTGTTTATGTGTATTCAAAATGTTTCTATAACCTGACAATTTAGTTTCAAAACGTTTTTGATGAACGTTGCCAATGGTTTTTGTTTTAGTGAGTGTATAACTATACAACGCTTATACATCTGTTATTAGTAAAGAGCGTGTGTAACTCTTACCCATAGCTTAAACAGTGTATAAGTACACAGTTGTTAAACAGATGTTTTAAATATTTTTATTAGTAAGACTGTATGAATATAATTTGCAAGCGAAATACTCGATATCAATAGTTAATGACAAAGCCAGATGCTATGATGATAGTTTCAGACGGCAAGTTGGGCAGTCACGTCCAGTAACTTTGTCTCTAGCTTAATGGCAAGATACCAAATTCAACGTTGAAGCAATTGTGAAATTCTATTATCTAAGAAAATTTGAATATAAATTCAATTATATAATGCTGACGGATTGAACGCTTCGTTTAATTCAATACTTAAAGTGCGGTATTAAATTAAAAATTAAAAGTCGTATGTATCAAAGGCACCGAATTTTGAACTTGTTTTTGGAGCAGGGTTGAGTTCGCTACGCTGCTCCAAGACGTGTGTTGGACTTCACAATTCCTTTAAATATTTTGAAATTTATTTATGCTAATTTCTACAATATTTTTTTGATTTAAATTATTTTGACGGGAATTGAATTCGAACAGTTTTTCAAAGAGGGTTTTTTTAAAAGCAAGTGCCCAGTTCTAGAGCTGTGTCGGTTTTTTGAGCCCAGAGTCAGGAAGTTGGCGGTGTTTCATCCTTGTATCTCGGAATGCACATGAAGCCTTGGAATCGGAATCGTGTCGTATTGCCGTCCCAACATATATGAGATTAGGAGAACAGAGAGCGTACCTGTACTTGCGCACTAATTCTTGCACTATAATCATGCCCTGCGCGGATCAAGAGGCTAGTTCCCATTGAGACTGTGCCCAAAATAAAATTCGGTCCGAGGACTTATATATCGTACAAATAACAACTCACAATAATATTATACATTAATGATGAGGTGTAAGGATAAGAATCCTAGGAAAAAGATTTCCTATGAAAGAATTTTATTTGAAGCCTTAAGTAAGTTATATTTTTAAACCGTTCGAGGTCGCATTTTTACCGGTGGCTTAATATTCGAATTAAGACTGGCAACTTGAAATGTGTTAGGGGCTTGACATAATGCAATTTGCAATATTCCTTAGGTTTTAAAAAAATCGGTCGATATTTCTCATATTTCAGAAAAGCAAAAATATAAGATTGTTTGAAATTTAAACTACAAATTATTCTTAGAATGTCGTAGTTTGTTTATTAAAAATTAAGGAAACTATATATTATTTATTTTTCATCGTTTTTCCTTTCGATATACTGTTTTTAGTAGTTTATACGTTTACATATAAAATCATATGTAAAAAATAAAGTTTTAGGCACTAACCAAATTACAGTCGCGTTTCTCAATTATTGACACAATTTATTAAGAAGCTGTCCTCCTTCAACATTTTAGAATAGATAATCACTAATAGATCTGGATAAGTGGCGCGTCTTGGGAAAGGCCTATGTCCAGTAGTGGACTGCCGCAGACTGATGATGATGATGATGAATCATGATTTATTTTAGATGTAGCTATTTCTATCACTCTTAACTCTTTCACTCAAAGATTTATTATATTTACGCGAACATTACACATTAAATAAAACTAATTTTACGGATTTTATCGCGTTTAATTAAAACTTTTGCGTTTAGTTTCTGTGAAGTTAATGCTGTTAGCCGTGTAGTAGCGTTTAAGAATATCCACTACCCCATATCTTCCCGTGGGTGTCGTAAAAGGCGACAAAGGGAAACATTCAGGAGATGGGCAGCAGCATCTTTCTGATAACAGCAAAAGTACAATAAAAAAAACTGCGGTTGCCAATCCGTTAGCCAAGCGTGGAAACTATGGCAAATACCCCCCAATGACTAGAGCAACAAAGAGACGGCCCCCAGTCCCCGGCGGCCCCGCCATTCCTGGCTACGGTGGCGACCATGGTAACGGCGGGGCAGGGGGTGCTAAGAATCTCCGGTGAAGGTTTGGTTGCCACCTAAGACTCGAACTGACAATATACAACGCACGCACCCTGAGGAGATTGTGGAGCTGGAAGAAGAGATAGACAAGTTCCGCTGGCATATTATAGGATTATCCGAGGTCCGAAGAGAGGGGGTGGACACGGTAATCCTCGAATCCGGCAACTTGCTTTATCAACGTAGGGCGACCATCTGTCCCAACGAGGTGTCGGATTTATCGTCCACAGGTCTCTCGTTAACAACGTTGTAAAGATTGATAGTGTGTCGACGAGGATTGCGTAACTTATACTCAGAATCACCAAACGGTATTCCCTGAAGGTCTTACAGGTTTACGCATCAACCTCGGCACACCCCGATGTGGAGGTGGAGGAAATGTATGAGGATATCTCTATGCATGACATTCCTCCAAAACACACTATACGGTGTTAATGGAAGACTTCAACGCAAAACTAGGAACAAGAGAGAACGGTGAGCTGAAAGTAGGGAAATTCGGAATAGGGCAACGGAAACCAAGGGGCCAGCAGCTGGCTGACTTCATGGAGAAAGAGGGACTCTTTACGATGAACTCTTTCTTCCAGAAGCGGCCCCACAGGAAGTGGACCTGGTCTAGCCCCAACGGTTCCACAAAAAATGAGATTGACTTCATTATGACGACCAGACGACAACTGTTCAGTGATGTCTCCATGATCGCGAGGGTAAAAACTGGTAGCGATCACCGAATGGTTAGAGGCACACTGAACCTAAACCATAAGTTGGAGAGGTCTCGTCTAATGAAGTCAATGCTCCGTCCCCCTCGTGCTCTGTTCCAAAGTCCCGAAACCTTTCAGCTCCAGTAACAAAACCGTTTTCAGTGCCTAGAAGACTGCAATGAAGTGGACGATATGAATGACAAGTTCGTGGAAACTGTCCATGCGGTCGGAACTAAGTTCTGCAAGACCCGCCGCAGACGAACACAAAAACTCTAGCATACAGGCAACTGAACAGACAGATCTCCAAATGCATGCGGCGGGACTTACAAAATTTCAATACAGCTTGTACTGAAGAAGCAATCGATCGG